AGGAGAAATGTGTGGACACATATTTTGAATTTTATGTTTACATATTGTGATGAATTAAACTTCAGATTAGAAAAATGAGAAACCCAGATTGAGAGATGTTAGCCCTGATAAAGATGGCAGGGTCCTCCTAGGCCGTTTTGTTCAGTAATTACATTCCTATTCCACCCAGTAGTCCAAGCTATGTCCCAGTTTTGGCCACTACCCACCCTGGCTGAATGCCAGCAGCCCACCAAGAGCACCTGTGTTGCATCAGGCATCAAGTTGTACCTTTGCACTGTCCCTTTCAAGTCTGGCTGCAAGCTCCCTTTCTTCTCTTGCTCTAGGAAAAGCAAGAGTGTGTTCACAGAACTGACAGGGTGCTGATTAGGATCCTGTTACCGAACCCGCAATGTCACTAGCACATACACAAAGCTTGGATCCCATAGCTGAGGTTCAACAGGCAGCGCATGGGCTATGCGCTGAAATGTGTGGAGGTGCGACGGAGGGTTGGAAAGCGCTCCCTTTGGGATATGGGGATGGCTCTGGGGCCCGTGAAGATGGTTTCAGGCAGAAACTCAAACTACGATGCACAATGGCTCACTTCCTGTTTTCTCAGCGTGGCTGCTTCTCGCTGTTCTTTAGCACTTTGGTTAGAAGAAGGCACAGGTGAACACAGGCTGGAAGTGGGGAGGTGCCCTTGGCCGCTCTCTCTGCAGCCTTCCGTGCGGCCAGGCCTACGAGCTGAGCTGCGTGCTGGCTGGGTGCTGGCTGGGTGCTTGCATGCCACGTAGTGGGAGGAAGGGGTGAGCACGCAGTTCCTTTCTTGGTCTTTGCTTCGAGAGGACAGACTTCCGAAGGTCTAGCATTTGATCTCTCTCGGGATCACTGAGCCGGACAGCAGTGGAGCTGAGGATCCAGCCTGTGACCATGAAGGGATCTTTATCGAACATGGAGGCTATTACATTGGTAAAAGGTCTGGGCCCACTTTTTTCTCTGTACTTACCTTGAAACGGAAACTCACCATTTCCCCCTTCCCTCCAGGATTTTTCACTGCTTTTCCCCTTTGGTCTTATTTTTCAGTTTTGCTGCAGATGCTTCTCTGGTTGTCAGCTTATGGAGGAAAATTGATCAAAGTTTATGTTGCTGATTTAGGCCAGTCTTGGGAGGTGGTTTGACTAGGGGGATATCATCTCATTTTATGCTTTTTTTTTTTTTTTAACTTGGAGCGACTCCTGTGAATTCACCGTGTATGCATCAGACTCAAATCCTGCAAGCAAACCTTTGAATGCGCCATAAGGCGTATCTTCTCCTTATGGATTCCTGTTTGCTAATCTGGTGTTTAAGGCAGGGAACCTTTCCCAGAAATACGGTGGCAAACACTGAATCAACAGATTGCTTGCATCCAGGCTCGCAGCTGAAATGGGAACCCCAAAATAGCAGCCTATTTTTTTTTTTGTCTTTTTTGTCAATGACCGTTTTTGCCCCGCTCACTATATAAAATAACCCAACTACTGAAACAAAATTTTAAAAAATGAAAAATAAAGCATATGTCAAGCAGAAAAGGAAATATTAACTAAGGAGGAAGTCCGAACCTGTTGAGAGGAATGTTGCATGCTCAGATCTGATTCAATTTTATGAAGGTTGTGCTTTTTGAAGCCTTTGCTATTTGTCCTCTTCCGGTGAGCATAGTTAGCTGCCTGGGCTCATAATTTCAAGTTCTTATACTTGACCCTTACTCAAATGAAGCACAAAGCTAATAATATGGACAAATCTTGTACCAACAAAGGAACAATCAAATTCTATGATCACAGCAAAACTATGTGAAATACAATCCCAATAAAGGAACTTACCTGAGGAGCTGGGCTGTAGTCTGTGAAAGCTTTTGCCATGTTAGTCTTTCATTTTTTGCGAACTTCATCCCCGTGTCTGTTTTAGCTGAGGGACAGGGAGTTTGTCAGAGAGAAGTGCCGCATCCATCCCAGCTGAGCCTTCTGGATTTGTCCACCCGTGTTGGGAATGCCTTCCAAATATGTCACCCATGTTTCAGTGTTCTGTCTTCGTGGTTCCTCCTGTGGGAGGCAACCTCATGGAGAGAAACTTGATCTGGATGACAAAAGGTATAAACCATCTAGAAGAGGACAAAGGCGTATCATGTGAACAAAATTGGCCATGGCTAGACTTAGTATAAGAGCTGAAGTCATGACTCCTGTCAGTGCTGGGAATCTCTGAAATTTGAGCTGATGCTGAGAATTGTCTGTGAAAGATCTGCTTGAGCCTCACACAAAAGGTACAAGCCCTGATGTGCCTGGGAAGAGAAAGTTTGTAGGTTCAGTTCAAGCACGCAGGGTGGCTGTCTCCTACATTCATGTGTCCGGGAGCTGCTTCACTCTGTTTCTTAAAACAACTCCTGCCCTTTCTTAGACTCCAGGCTGGCTTCCCCAGTCCAATATTCTCCAGCCCCCACACTATCCTGGTCCCCTTCAGATGGTGTCGTTGCAAGAGGGGAGCGGATCCGTTTGAACTGCTCGCTCCCGGAAGGACAGAGGACGGAGTTGTACACATTCCATTCATTAAAAGGAGATGGTGGACAGACTGAATTAGCACGGCAGGTGCAGAGTGTCTTGGAGGTGCCCACGTTACGTCTGAAGCCAAAGGAAATGTTCGTGTGCTACTACTGGGGGAAAAGCAATGACGGCAGAAGATCCTTTTCTCAAAGGAGTAACCAGGCTGTGTTTCGTATCACTGGTAAGGACCCTTTTTGTTGCACCGAAATCACACACACACAAATCCAGACTCATCTGGATGTTATGAAAGTGTGAAAAGGGGATGAACCAGAATTTAATGGCTTTCAAAGTAGCCAAGCAGTATTGGTGGGGAAGCAGAAAGTTATTTTATTTTAGTATCGACATGTTGCTGGGGTTCACATTTCCAAAGCAGCTCATGATATATTTATACAACAAATATTAAAGCCAGTTGGTTTTAATATTCTCTTCTATGTAAAGTGGGACTTTTGTGTCATTTTCACACTCTAAATGCAGACTTGAACGCGCATGACAGTTGTGGCCTGTACTCAAGCAATCTTGGTGACTTCAGTTCTGTGAGACTGTGCAAAAGTTGTAAGTGTGGGCCAGGGCTGGACAACAGGCAATCTGTGGGCTGTATGATTCCTTCCATCCTTTGCACCCCTGAATGTCGGCAGCATTTTTAAAACCAAGAAATGCACATCTCTGGGCTTCCAGGAGCAGGATTTCACATTAGAACAAGGCACATGTTCCCTGCCTGCCTCATTTTAAGTGGGAAATGCTGTTTTCCCCCTATTGCCAGCCACGGCAGTGTGGTATCAGTGATTTTGTGGGTGGCGGGTGGGGAGGGGTGGGCTCTGGGTGGGGGTAGTGGAAACTGGCTGCAGAACCTCAGATGAAGGCCCTCTGCACTGTCCTAGAACTGCATCCCCGCGGCTCCTCGGAGCAGCCATGAGACTGCAGTGCTCATGTGAGGCCCCTCCAGTGGGGTAAGCTGAGGACCCTGGTCCTGAATGGCTCTAACTCGATCATGCTTGCTGGAGTCTAGCAACTACTTTTCTCTTAATACAGAACAGAGGGGCAAAACATCTATGACAGGAAATTAATCATTCACAGGAAACTTGTCTTCTTTTTTGAGCATGAAGCCTATAAATGAGAACAGAAAGCAACGCATGTTGTCCTTTGGATTCATCCCTTGCCTATGAGGACAATGTGGTTTAAAGTGGTTTCACATGCTATCTGTCTCTCCTCTCTCCAGAGAGTTCTGGAAATTCATTTTGTGAAGAGCAGAAATGGGTGTCTAACACAGGCATGGGCCTCTTCAGCTCCAGAAGCGTATGATGTTCTGTATTATGCAAAGCCTTCCTGGGACACTTGACTCTTTGGCTGCAAGAGCATAAAGTCTGCAGCCCGCAGCAATGCTTGTGTGTTTGTAGTATGGAATTAACTAGGAATAGGACTTGAGAGCGAGACCACAAAGAGAATCAGGAGCTAGGCGCTCAGCAAGGCAGCCTCAGTAAATTTCTGCAAAACTGAATTTGGCCAATGGAGCGAAAGAGCTTTTGCACCCTTCTCTAATGGAAGTTGTTCATAAATGATCTGGAGTTAGGAGTGAGCAGTGAGATGGCAAATCTTGCTCACGATACCAAAGTATTTAGGATGGTTAAAGCAAGAAGGGATGGCAAAGAGGTCCAAAAATACCTCTCAGATGGGGTTCAGTGTGATACATGTTGGGCAAATGTCCCAGTTTCAAGCATAATTGGCAGAATCCAAGCTGGGGGAGACTGACCAAGAAAGAAGCCTTGGGCTTGTGTGGACAGCTTGATGAAACTGTCAGCCCAGTATGTGGTTCCAGCAAAAAAGGCAAACTTCATGTTGAGGATCCTTGGATAAGGAACGGAAAATAGAATTGCCAAGTTCATACTTCCCACATACAAATCTACAGTCTTCCAAGGCACCTCAAGAAGAAAGGGCAATCAGAATGATCCAGGGGCTGGAACAACTTCTCTCTGAGGAAATGTTAGAATGTCTGGGCTTAGGAGAGAAAAGATGAGTAAGGGGGTGTGTGCGAAATTGGGGTGTACAAAATTATGCATGGCGAACAGCAAGGGGGTAGGGAGCAAAAAAATGATAAGGAACATAGCACAGATTTTGCTGTCTAGGCGCAAAGTCGTTCTGAGCATGGCTACTCTGAGCTAAGCTGCTGGATAATGAGATGAAGGAATGAACTGGTTGTGCCTTCAACACGCTTCATGCGTTTTTGATTTCTAACACAGAGAAACAAATGGGAATCGGAAGTCCCATTCATCCAGATTTCCCCAACTTGGTGCCTTCCGGTTGTGTTGGAGTACAGCTTCTAGGAGTGTGAGAGGGCTTTGTAGAAGGGGAATGGTGTCTCTGAAGAGGGGAGATGATAGGGGAGCGTATATGACTCCTCTTAGACCCTTCTTGAATCCTTTGCTTCCTTCCTCCCAATGGTCTGCAGACCTTCCTCCACCTCCCAGCCTCTCTGCAGATCCTTCAGGACCTCTGTATCATCAAGGAGAGATGGTGACCCTCCAGTGCTCGGCTCCCAGGGACGCTCCAGGGATGCGGTTCAAGTTTTTCCATCTCACAGCAGAACAGATCCCTGTCAGAATGCCTTCACAAATGAGTTCCGGGCTGTCCTTCACAGTCACAAAGGAGAATTCTGGATTATACAGCTGCCAGTACTCCAAGAACACAGCTAAGGGAAATACCTTTTCACAGAAGAGCCGTCCTATCAACATCTCACTGACAGGTGTGGTTTTGTCAACTGTGTCAAATTTGGGTCTCGCATTTGTGGGGACTCGCATTTATTTATTTATTCATTCATTTATTTATGTATTTATTTAATGCCCTCACATAAGTGTCCCTTCCTGCACCAGTCCCTCCAAGACCAGCTCCCCACATCCCCTGTGGCTGCTCTTGGCTCCCATGGTGCTGTTTTTATTTGGGCTGTGGCAGAAGAGGAAAGTATATACTGCTGTTGCTGTGAAGGCCATTGTCCAGCAATTATCATCAGTGAACTAGCCATAACTCATCACATACAGTTTAGTCCTCAACCTCACAAGCTCTAGAAACAGTCACATCTTATCTCCACAACATTGGATTTCATACTTTGTGAATTAGGTGTTTTGTTTGGTAAAGTTTATGAGCCATGTTAACTTGAGGTTGAAAACATGGATTCTATTATTATGCACTTATTTCAGGTGTTGACATTCTTCTACTCCAGCCATGCATACTCTCAGACGCACCCACATCTTAGCTGAACTTTCTTAGTTAGGTTAGCATGGTGGCAGTTAAGGGAGTTTTCTTCCTGCTCAAATCCCAGATCCAGAAAAAATATTTTCCAGGTAAGGTCTGCTCCATACTAACCCCCTTGTGAAAAGCAATAGTCAGTGGTCAGCTGTGGAGTTACAATAAAATAGCTGAATTTCAGAGGATGGTCGTGAGGTTTTGGGACCTGAAGGAAGGTGGGAAAGGACCAGCCCAAGACACAAATCCTTCCAATCTGCAACTCTCTCTGGGGCCATCTGGACTGCAATGGCTTCCTGATCGGAGCCCAGCAAGCCACATTCTCTGGACTTTTTGGTCACTCCACCCTGCCCTGCTGATCCCCTCTTCTTTGTGCGTAATGCCTGCAGATCCCCCTCCTCCTCCAGTGCTGAAAGTGGACCCCCCATCGGGCATGGTGAATGCAGGGGACCCACTGCTCATCTATTGTTTGGCCAGCAGGAGCCACACTGAGAAGCAGTTCCACTTCTACAGGGATGGGGCTGAAATGCCCCCCACGAGTGAAGCAACTCTGAGAAGCTCCAGCGAGTTCCTAAATGCCTCCATCTGCATCTCAGAGGCCAGGGCCAACCACACAGGGAAGTATGCTTGCAGTTATGTGGAAAAACATAACGTCTTGTGGCTCAGTTCTCCCCGGAGCCTGGCGGTGAATGTCAGAGGTGAGTTTTTGTTTATGGTGGAAGCAGCTCCTAACTAGAGCCCATCTTAGCAGGAGAAGGACACTTTTGTATACGTTCTTTGAACCCACAGGATACTACTGGGGTGCAGAATATGGGAAAAAAGGTTTTCCCTGCATACTTTAAATACCATCTTCTACCTGATCTTTTCAACCCATATCCTCAACCAAAATCAGCATCTGATGTTTCCTTTCATGAGGCCAGTTTGCCTTGTGAGCAAAGGTGATGATACTGAAAATGACTTCCTTGGCTTGACCTATATCCCACTTTTGGACCCACCTGATCAGCCTGGCTGAATGCCAGCCAGCCTGGTAGGAGCGTTTGTGATTTAATGAGAGACAGATAAATCTCAGAGACATTTGTGATTCAACCAGTTACCTTTGCATTTACTTACAGGAAGCAGTGAAGTATGAGAAATGCATTTCAGTTCATTTTTGCTCACTTTGCTGAGTTCACACCTTCTGAGCTGTACATGATCTTGGACTTAATCTACCGTTGAATGCAGTACCTTTCTAAGGTTGCAATGTGATGTATAGCCCCGCCCAACATGTATACCTTTTAAAAAATGAGCATGAAAAAAGGCATAGACATACATTTATTCAAAGGGATAAGGATGCATGCAGTTAAAATTGCTGTGCACATTTGTGATGATACACATGAATTTGCATGGAACTGTATAAAAAACCCTTGCAATCTGATGCAGACTCAGTTAAGAACAAGCTTCAGCAAGCTTGAGTTTTGCTGATTCACACATCCCTAAGAATAGGACAGTTCAAAAATAGGGTTCAGCCTCAAATAAGAACTTTCAGCTCAGAACCGGGGGTGCGATTTGGTGGGGCTGGTGGAAGGGGCTCAGCGCCGGTGGCCATAATTCTCCACTGGAGAAACAAGAGTCATGGTGACGGTCTGAAATGCTCCGGATGTCAAATTGTTCTGGGGTAGCCAGCACTCGTCTTTCGAAATACCCTGGCAACAGCCACAGTTACCCTCCCTAGAAGAAATACCTGCCTTGACTGCTGACGTCTGCTCCTGCAAGCCTCTCGCAACCTGCTGAAGAAGTCCTCCCCTGAACAAAGTCTCTGAAATTCACCCAGAGATCAGTTGCCCAAAAAGCGTACAGAATTGTGGGGTGAGGTGCAAATTGCATGACAACTCTGCTACAGCTCACCATCAGTAACGCAGAGTCCCACCCCTTGTTTTCTCAGTCGGCCTTTCAAGTTCATCAGAGCCACTGCTGGAGTATCCACGTTGGGCGCTCCCATTTATGATCCTGCTGGTCCCACTGACTTTCTACTGCAGGAGCAGAGCGAAGACTGGTATGTGACGCAGCTGCAGGAATGTTTGTGGGAGGAGGTTACCAATGGCTAAGCTATGTGTTGTGCTTAATATATGGAACTGAATATGTAGTCCAGTTTCTTAGCTGCAGTGTGTGTGGGGCTTCAGTACAGATCAGGACCGCCAGTTGTAGCTTGGTGATGTTATAACTTTTGCATCCAGCTTCTTCCACCTGTACAGCTGCACTCCTGCTGAAGGGCCTAGGAAAAGAGGAGGGGATCCCTTTGACAGATGCCACTGCAGTTCCTCCCGCTCTTCTTTCCAAATCCTTGTTATGAAGCAGCTCTCTTTGGAGGGAAGAGTACCGGCTGCATTTTGAGGCAAAGCTAACAAGCTCAGCATCTTTAGCCCCAGCTTCAGGAAAGGAGGGAGAGAGGCACAGAGATGGGACTGACTGTGATGGTCATGCAAGACCAGATCAAGGAATTCAGTTTCTAACGGACTTCCTGAACTGTACATCCCAAAGTCGAAAAGGTGTGTGTATGTGTAGGGGAAACAATGAGCAAACCTTGACTCTGGTGGAGAGCAAAAGTAGTAAGTGAGGCGGCTCCTGCTGAACTATCTGCAGTGGCCCTTCACGCGTTGCTCTTGTAGCCTTGGCATAAGTCATTCAGGCAAGCGTTAGTGTGAAAGGTCATGTTTGGTTCACAAATAAATCAGAGAGATCATAAGGACCCCCCCACCCCGGAAGGACCTATATTTCCAGCAAATGCAGCCATCACCCCAAGCACCCTTTTTGTTATAAAGACAAAAAGGCCAGCTGAGTTATTATCCCATAGGTAATACTGACTTTTCCACTGTTTGCGAGATGGTCTGCTTATTCAAAGTTGTGATTTTGTTGGTTTCCACTGGACTGCCTGGGAAGCCTCAGCATCTGTGCTCCCAGAAGATGGGCTTCATGCTGGAATGACTCAAGGACCGCCTCCTTCCCCCTGAAATC